CATGAGGAAATAGACTTGGAGACATGAAAAAATTTGTTGAATGCCTGAGATATCTCGCAGGGGGCTGGAGAGATGGCTCAGTGGTTAAGAGCACTCACTGCTCTTGCAAGTGACCAGAGTTCAGTTCCCAGTGCCTGCATGGTAGTTAACAACTGTCTGAGACTCCAGTTCCAGGGAATCCAACGCCCTCTTCTGACCTCTGCAGGCATTGTGTGCATGTGATGTACTTACATACATGCACACAAAATACTCATACACATAAAATAAAAACAAAATGTAAAAATAAATTTTAAGATATTTCGTAGTATAAGCATGACAGATTTCAAGTCTTCTACTGACAGTCCCTACCACACATATGAGGTTTCAAGCATAAGCTGAGGCATTTTCATTATGTAGACTCAATGCCTTTATGGAATCTAGAAAGTTGTATGAAGACAAAGAGGTTAGCAACACAAATATGTAAAGAAGCATGTAAGTATTGCTATTATAGTTGATGTGAAAATAAATGTAACCAAGACACTAACCTTGCCTACACGTTGTTTAAGATCTACTTGAGATAAAGAAGGCAAATTTACCTGTACTGGAATATTGAGTTAGTAGAAACTTACTCAGTATAGCCATACAAAGAATGGAGATTAAGCTAGACCTAAAGGCACACAGTAAACCTTAAGTGAATGTAGTCATTAATCTAAGGACCTCCCCTCTTATATCTAAACATTTACTATCTTACCAATTTTTAAAGGTAGTACTGCCTTTTAATGTCTTCTCTGTTTTTATCTACACTTTTAAGTTGGAAAATGAATGCAAATTGAATATCTGATCATTAACACAGAAAAGCAGTTCTAAGTATTGGATTTGGTAGTATCTGGACTCTTCCATTTGGGGAACTGGATTTTTCTTTCTACTGTAATTAGGTATGGAAACTGAGTCTGGGAACAGATTTGTATAAACTTTTTAGTTAGCACGTTTTTGTTGGAATAAAAAACAAAATATTGGTGCATGCCTTTAATCCCAGCTCTCGGGAGGCAGAGGCAGTTGGATCTCTGTGAGTTCAAGGCCAGCCTGGTATACATAGTAAGCTCCAAGACAGCTGGGGCTACAGGGAGACCCTGTCTCAAAAAAAAAAAAAACTGAACAATTTTACTTAGAGGTTTAAATCAAATCTTATCACTCCTCTGCCTGGGAAAAAGTTAGGTGTATCAAGATACAAGAGAGGCTAAGGTTGGCACACAGATGATCGCCATCCTCACATGCTGAGGGTTCCACATCCATGAAGACCCAACAGAATTGAGCCCTTACTTCAATTTTTCCCAGAACAATCCTTCCATTTGTAGAGACACATTGAATCAGGACCATTCGGTATCATTTCTGTGTATCTCATAGGAGGGAGGATTACCTTGTTTATCTGCTCAAAACTCTTGAAAGTCTTCCCAAAATATATGATTTCTCAATTTCTTTCTCATCTCCCCTGTAATTTCTTAAAATATTCCCCCAGTGTTGCACTCAGATCCTTGAGAGGACCTGCCTCAAGAGCTAGTGCTCTCTCTCTCTCTCTCTCTCTCTCTCTCTCTCTTTCTTTCTCTCTCACTTTAGAAATTTAAATACATATTGAAATGAAAAGTCATTCCATTGGTCTTGGCCCTTCATCTTCTCATGTGAAAGACGTCCTCTAGAAGGAGAATCTGCTTCCAAGATAGGCTGGGCTGAAGCTACCTGACTCTAAGCTTCTTAAGTTCCACTTCCAGTAGTTTAGAAACATGTCTTCAAGTGAGCTCACTACACAATTTCTGTCCCATGAAATTCTATCTTATAGTGTTAATAAGCATTAGGTTTTACATTTAGATTAAGCTATTAAGACATGTTGAGATAAAAATAATTGCATGAGAATATGCTTTTTCAAGTAAAATTATTGTGTTACCTGTTTTCAAAGGCAAATATAACTGAAATGCATTATTAACACTTAGTAGAGCCATTAAATATATAAACATGCACTTATATGAGCCTAGTATAGATAGATATTGAAAAATGGAAGTGAGGCTATGACAGGATTACAAACTATTAGCAGTTTAATTTTGTGTATTACATTAGAGACTACAGCCACCTCACATTTTGGACTAGCGATCAACTAATATTGTAAAAATTGATGTGCTCCCTACATATAGGGTGTTTTGCCTTCATTTGAAACTATGGCTTCCGTGGATTTAAAAAATACATTTATTCTTTTATTTTCAAAGTGAAAACCCTAAAATTTAGCATGTTGAAATGTTTAAACCAGTGATTTCTGGAATGTAAGTGGTACCTTACTTGTAAGCGCTTTAAAACAGGCAATTTTAAAATAGGTAAATTACTCCACAGAAACCTTCGGGAACCTAAATTGCTGATATATCCTCTTGAAAATACCTCCTATTATGTGGAATGTGGATGTGTTTGAAGCTGTTTTATTCTTCAACCTTTGCACTTAGACAAGTTATGCTTTCTACTTTTAACAGTTATATGTAAAACAAAAAAATAATTTATGCAAATACTATCAAATGAACTTTTATGGAAGTCATTTGGTGCCTTATAATACCAATCACTTTAACATATATAAGATCTTCTTGCAAAATAAAATTCATTGTTAAAGCTATCATTAGTCAAAAATTGAACTAAATGACAACAAGGGTTTTTCTAATATTGGGATTTTCTTTCTTCTTCATAAAACTTTCCAGCTGCATTTTGTGAAGTTCTCAAAATAATTGACATTGTTAAACCAGAGACTAAAAATCTTGGTACGGACTGACCCATGGGGACACATTGCTATTTTTTTTTGTTTAAAATAAAATAATAAAAGGGGCGTCTCATAGGACATAAAAATTGATCTCATTTTCCACATTTATTCTATTTGTCAAACTGTTCTTAGAAGTGGTTGGAATTGGCTGTCAGAACCAAGCTCCCTCAAGTGTCTTGCCTTTGTGGTTTGCCTACCCGGGTTTCCCAGTCCTTGGTTGAACATTAATGTTCTCACAGGCATATAATGTTGAATACAACTCTAGTGATCTCTTCCAGTAGGGGCTGAGGCCATTTCCAAACCTCCTTCTATATTTCCTTTCTATAGTATCTTTGTCTAAATACTCATGCACACACAGATACACACATACACACACATACATACTGTCTCTCTCTCTCTCTCTCTCTCTCTCTCTCTCTCTCACACACACACACACACACACACACACACAACATCCATCCATACACTCTGGTCTACTTTTCTCAATGTAGATTGGTTGTAACATTTGTCTCTCAAATTAATTTCTAGAAAACAGATATTTCCCTCAATATTTTTTAGTAAACCATGTTCATATCATGATTACTGTAGTTTGTAGATACTGATACTGTCTTCTTTGGAGCACAGAGAATTTTTGACACTGTTATTAAAACTGACATCAGTTATTCCTCCATTCACCAGGCTTATTTTAACACCCTGTTTTCATTCATGGTACTCTGTCAGTTTGGAAAAAAAAAAAAAAAAAAAAAACAAGAATATTCATGAAGCAGTGTTAGTTTTCATCCCTGTATGCCTTACACAATGGATCATCTCAGGCGATGAATGAACATGAGGTAAACTCCCCAAAGCACAACTCAGTAACTTCCTAATTTATTTCCATTCCTGTCAACATAGGCTTCACACAAACACATACACACACACACACACACACACACACACACACACACACACATATGCACACACACAGATCCCTTCCACCTGGCAGGAAGCCCTAGACTGTCCTTCACCCCTACTGGAAAAGCATGAAGCAAATCCTTTCTCCCACTCCCAAACTGGTTTTGTCTTGCTGACCTCTCCACCTAACCTAGCTTCTTCTGTTTTTCTATTTTTCCTAAATGCAACTTACTTTAAGCATGTGCTAAATTGATAAACATCGCAACAGTTCTAGCCACCTCCTTCTCTTTTAAATGTCTACTTAGGACGTACATCCAGACTGCACGCCCTTTTTATTTTTTTAGAGAAACAAAGTTAAAATCTAATCTCCAAAGAAAGTGCAAAATTTGTTTTCAATTTTGGCTGTTACAAAAAGGGGAATCGATTAAAACAAATCAGCAAACAGTAAAAAAAAAAAAAAAAAAAAAAAAAAAAAAAAAAAGCAACAACAAAAAACATAAATATAAAAGTGTCCCCTGACTGTCTGTGCCTTTTCAGCGTGTGCATCTGGTTGTTCATCTCTGAAAGTGTGTTAAATTCTTTTTTCTTTAAAAATCCTTTTTTAAATTTTTCCTCCCTTCTTGTTTGGAAATTAAGTGCTTTTTGTATTATATCTATCTATCTATCTATATCTATATTATATATATATCAATGTGTTTCTTTTTAATTGCTAAACCTTTAGATTTGGTTTTATCCAAAATTATGAGAAAAAAAGTTATGAATTGTTTTCTGTAGTTTTTCCCACTCCCTCTTTAAATGTGGAACAACTTCAGCTGCAGAATCCCCACATCCACATCTTTCAGATGAGCTGGTCTCATCACCAGTAGTGCACAGTGTGGGTGGTATGGGGAAGATGGATGATATAATTGAGAATATACCATTTCCATATAGGGGAGTCATTAGCCACCCAGTGTGTGGGCTCCCCGAATAGCACTCCCTGAATCTACGCTGTAGAGCACTCAACCCCCAACTCAAGATGGGGCTGTGTGGCTGCCGATGAAGTTGTTCAACTTGAATGCATAAATCTAGTCTCCTTGTTTTTGCTTTTAACCTTTTGATCTTAATTATTAGTATTATTATTTTATGTACTTTGCCTATTTTGGATAGGAAAAAAAGTGTAACTGTTTTTATGATTTGAAAATCTTATGATGAAACTGTAATGATTTTTGGAGTAATTGCATGTTGAAGAAGTTGCAGCTTAGGGTGTGTGAGATTGTCAGTGTTAGAGTTCTGTTCTTGATTTCCATAGATGGGCATGTGTAGGCTCATTTGTTTTTGTATATTGCCCATCCCTTCCTTACAGCCAGAAGCTCTAATGCAGCTAGATCACTCCGTGCCGCCCTTACATGGACATGGCGACTCACTTACACATTCACCCCTATCATCTTCATCTCCTGTGTAGTACACTCATAGATACGACCCTCCCCTGTTCCGCATCTTCCCTTCCCATACTTCCCCTTTCTTTAGTATTGTTAAAATATATGTGCTGTCATCCATTCCCTTAAATTAAGGAAAATCTAAAATTTGTCAAAAAAGACAAAAAAGTACATATCTGAAAACTTACAATGAAGAAATTCATTCAAAACCCTATAGATGCATAGATTTTTTAAAGGCAAATTATAAAAGTAATTTTTTAAATTTTCAGTTATAGCAATCAGAATATTTTAAATTTAAATATCAATGCCCTCCCAAACTCCCCAAAGTAAAAAAAAAAATGTTAAAGTGCAGATTTATTTTTCTTTTCATGTTCTGTGGTGTGGATGTATGTGTTGTTGCTTCCCTGTATCATCCTCTGTTGTAAATTATTATATTTGAAAAATTAGACATTTTGCTCAAAAGTTTTTAAGAAATGACAACAACAAAAAAGCAAGTTACAAGAATATGACAATTCTATTTGTCCAAGAGCATTCTTACACAACTTTCTTTTGTAAATTTTTCTTTCATGCCAAAAAACATGCGGGCAATTTGTTGATGTAAGTTGACTATGAAATAATATGGTATGCTTTTTGTTTATAAGTTTAATTATTTTGCCTATGTTGAAATTATTTCTTTCTCTTTATCCAAAACAGCCTCTATATTTTTATTTCCTTTTGCTTGTCTTTGTGTTCTTAGATTGTGGATCCTCACTGATTTTATTCGCTATCCTTCCCTTTATTTTGCCTTGGCTATGAAGTCGATTTTATTTTCTATTTGATTTTAAAAACTGTATTAAATATTTTATTTCATTTGAGCCTATTTGCTTAATTTCCAATGTTCTTTTGTGTGCTGAATTGCATCCAATAATCAATGTGAATTCTGCTCTTAAAGAGGGTAAATATCTAGTCCCTACCAACCAAAACAAGTGTAGCCTTATTGCCTGAACTATTAAACCACCAACTTTAAAGTATTGGTTGGTCTAAAGTGGGATATTAAAATTGGCTACAGTGTATAGGAGGCCTGTACTCCAGGAAAAAAAAAAATGAGTTGCTTTAGTTCTAAGTATTATCAGTGGTAATTTCATCCTTAATTTAATTCCTTAGAAGATATTCAAGGAAATCAGCCCTTTATGTTATTTTCTTTCAGTGAAAAGGAAATAAGGTACTCTCAAGTGACTATGGTAGAGTGGTTATTCTGGATTACTCTCTCATCATCACCACAGGCTACAAAATCAATTTTACTCAGAATAAAGACATCAGGAATCCCAGGTGTTTGCAGTGTTGTGCCATGATATTGATGACTTCTAATTCACACAACCAACTTCCTGCAAAATCATATCACACATACACAGAGAGAGAAGGCACACTCATTCCTCCCTCTCCTCTCTGTACCTCCCCTTCCTCCTTTGTCTCCCTTAGTTTTTCCCTTTCTATTAATAGTTTCCTGTTTTCTTTTCCTCGAGGATTTAATCAGGTAAGTTTTATAAGAATCTTAACATTTTATCAAGAAGACACATGATGGTTCTCATATTTCAAATTTTATTTAGAAAGTGTCTCAGGTAAGGTACCTCCATTGAGTAAGTCTAGACAGAGGCTATGATTCAAGGCCATGTCTCCAATGTTGCAGATGGACTTTGTGAAGCATAGGGTTGTTTAAGAAGCACCGTGTAATATTTTTAATGAAGAAGTCACTTATTTCACTTTCATTATAGACATCAGTGTTATCTGAAGTTATTATAAAAATGTCAAATTGAGTATGGAATAAAGGATATATTTAGAACCTGGCAGCTTCAATGAACTGGCTCTCTATATCTCAGTTCACTGATTTTGTGTTGTTTGACATGTTGAATAATATTTCACACTTAAAACTAAGAATTTCCTAAAATGGCTGTTAATTTACCTAATTCTATTAAAAGCTTTTATTTCTATTGATGAAGCTATCTATTTTAATAGAGGTTAATCATGTTTTTCAAACACAAGGTCTTTGAATGACTGTAAATCTTCCCACAATATCTGTGTTTAAAATTACCTCCTGATCCTATGTACTTATATCTGTACCTCAGGATGATGCCAATGCATTAAAGGACAGAAAATCTTTTCAGTGATTAAGTCTTTACAGTCAAAAATATTAATAGATATAATAAAACTAGCATTTCTTTTTTTGTGTGTAGTCTTTTTGAGACAGGGTCTCCTTGTAACCACAGTTGGTCTGGAACTCACTAGGTAGACCAGGCTGGCCTGGATCTCACAGAGATCTGCCTGCCTCTGCCTCCAGGGTCCTGGGATTAAAGGCATGCAACCATCATGCCTGGCCCTAAAACTAGCATTTCTGAGAAGCAGTAGACACTGTGTTAAACAATGTTCAGAGGTTTGAGATAGACTCTGTTATATTTATTCCCATTTTACATGGAGTTCAAGAAATTTAACCTGTCATGTGACTCATGAGCATAATTCCAGTGCCAACCTGAGTCTAAGCTAACCGATTTCAGAAGAAAAGCTCTTAACTAATAAGCAAATGGGAATTCCATTTGGCATTCTCAAGTTTACCGTGTATAATTCGCTGTGTGTATCAAACAGCTGTGGCTTGCCTTTCTTTGGTCATATGTTAAAAAAGTAGAATTGGTACTTTTTCAGAATCAAACTCTTTCCACATAAGCCATTTGCTTCTTGAAGGGGGTTTGCTACCAAGAGATGCTCATCATGTTAAAATATAAATTAAGCTCCTTTAAGACATTAGAGTTTTTCTGCTGTTTTCATAAATAGTGGCTATGTTTGCCTAGGACTGGTTTTCCTGAAAGTCAGTACAGAGCCATCTCATGGTTAGAAGCTTCAGTGTATCTGTACATGGAAGTCCTCAAGTTATGGCACCGCGTATTTAAATGAGTATTTTGAATAGATAATGTAGTAGGTGAATTCAAATAAAGCAAATGAGAGATGAGGTAAAGAGCCCAAAAAGACATAACAGAGTTCAAACAATTGGAGCATGGCATCCTCCCGAGTCCCTGCTGTTCAGCAGCGTTGTTTTGGTATTTTTGTGACTTCTCAGTCTCCGCTGTCTCCAGAGAGGCAAAGGCTACACCGAAGCTTTATGCTGGTCTTGGGTTTTCGTTTTTGTTTTTGTTTTTATCGGTGACCCACTGCATTCACCATCATCCACAACATCCTCACAGTTTAGAAGAGTTCTATTAAATTTTTAATACACTGTCTTTTTCAATAGCAGATAGCCCCTTTTGCTAGATATCAGCCCTAGAGGCATGAATTATGTATCTATAAATATACTCATAGAGCAAAAAAGCAGGGCAGCCTTCAGGGCTAAAATAGACCTTTATATCCCCAGTGACCTCTCTAAAGAAAAGAACAGCTTGTGTGTGTGTGTGTGTGTGTGTGTGTGTGTGTATTTCTGAATTTAAGATCTTAACTGACAGTTCTTATTCTAAACCAAAGGAAAATTCCAGAGATGGCATAAGAAATTGGAATTTTGATATTTTGTAGGTTTGATATCACTCTGAGAATAAATTTTACATTCATCAATTCTCTAGTACTTTTCTAGGGCTAGTTTCATAGTCTTTGTGAAAAAAAAAGATAGTATTAGCTGCTCCTGTATTCTTGAGAAATACATCTAACTGCTTGTCTCAAATGAAATGTGCCCATGGACACCCCCCCAAGTAGAGTTGGCATGGGGCATCAACACCTGTGGGTGCTTAAGACCCTGTGATGATTAATAGTAACCGTCAACTTGACAGATCTAAGGTCACCTAGGAGAGGGATTTATGGGCATGTTTGTGGAGGATTATCTTGATTATGTTCATTGAAATGAGAAGACTGGCTCACTGTGCACCATTTCCTGAGCTGGTATCACAGACTGTCTAAAAAGAAGAAAGTAAACTGAGCACAAATACTTGTTGCTGTCTGTTCCTGATTATGAATGTCATGTGACCAGCTCCCTTGGGCTCCTGACCACTGTGTCTACCCTGTCATGATGGACTGTAATCTCAAACTGAGAGACAAATGTAAACCTTTTCTCCCTTAAGTTGCTTTTGTCAGTATATTTTATCACAGCAACAGGAAAGGAAACAAAGACAGTTCCTTGATAAACAGCATATCAACCAGGTATGGTAGTATGAGGCTACTTGGAAAGCTGAGGCAGGAGGATCTTGTTTAAGCCAGGAGTTTGAGACAAGCTTGGGCAATATATTTAGATCCATGCACAAAACAATACCAAACAAAATGTATAATATTGGCAAAGAACCTGTGGGTCACTCTCTTAGTATTTAAATCATCCCTAGATTAGTAATAGTAGCAAATCCAATATACATGCTATGCAGAGTTGTTAGACTGTTTATTTTATTGGTAATGATAATGAAAAGAACAAGGTCTTCTCATGTTCAACCCAGACTCTTCTGTTTCCAGCACTAATATATGCAGTCACTTGAATCCTGAATGTGAAGCCCACGTATAAAGACGACTGAGTATATACTATATTCACCTCAATTCCTTTTTAAAAAATACTGTATTTATTATTTTTATTTTATGTGTATGCATGTATTGCCTGCATGTAGGTAAGTGCACCGTGTCATGCAATGCCCTTGGAGGACAGAAGATGCTGTTGGATTCCTTGGAACTGGAATTACGGACAGTTATTAGCTGCCATGTGGGTGCTGGGATTCGAACCCAGGTCTTCTGCAAGAACAGTGTTCTTAACCACTGAGTCATCTCCAGACCCCTCATCTCAATTCCTAAAGACAAAATTTCATATTAAAGTTGATTATAAGACTAGAGGAATGAGGCAGCGGTTAAGAGAGCCTTTATGTGCAGCCATGAGGACCTGATCTCAGTACCTATGTAAAAAGTTGGGTATGTTTCCCTGTTTGTATCTATAACCCCAGCATTCTGGGGAGCAGAGACAGTGACACAGAAAAGATCAGGGTCCCTTCTTGGGATACTTAATCTCATTAATAATAGAATATAAGAATGGTCTTGAATGGGAGCTTGAGAAAAATTTTATTTGCGTTTAAAAGAAAAACTCCAGGGTAAGCAAGCTGTAAATCTCAGCTGCTGCCCAGAGGAGGAGAGAAGGGGGGAAAACATCATGCATCCTCAATTTGGCATGACAGTCAGACACATGGTAGACAAGCAGCCTTGTAGTGAGGAGAGGAGTCTTTAGAGAAAGGGCAAGAAAGTCCAAAATATTGGGGAAGCACCAAGCATTACAGAAAGCATGCTTAGAAAAGAGATAGGTGTGCTTTGGTGAGTTATCAGATAAGAAGGCAGACTTGGGAAGTTCCATGCTGTGACCTAGAAAGATCTGCACTAGAGGTGAGAATCTGGAGAAGGAAATGTACACCATCTGATAAAAGGACTAATTGTTCCACCTATCTCTTTAACGAAGCTTAAAGTCAACCGACCCCTACACAGCTGCATGTTCACCACATGCATATGCACCAAAACCTCTTACATGTACACACAATAAGTAAATAAATAAATAAACCAATAAATAAATAACAAATTGATTATATGCCCCAGCTCACACATATGTTTCAGGCAGTTCTCAGTCCATAGTTACTTGGGAGTTGAACTATTCTGCCATTAAGTCCCATTTGTAATAATGATCCTGCCATGTGAGGCAACATCATTTCAAACTCCAGGCCATCCTCCAGTTCCTGAAGAAGCCAAGAGAAAAGGCTATAAAAGCGTCTGCTATTTCAGTGCATGGAGACCAGCATATTTGGGGTTCACATTTTCTTGACAGAGGGTATCATCTTCACTGTCACCAGTTGTAAAAAGAAAACGTTGAAGAAGAAGAAGGATTGATAGTTTTGACAGATCTTGATATCTAAACTTAGAATAAGATACTCATCATTTTATTTTTAAAATAATCTCTCACTTCACTTTGGACCTCACCTGGCTTTTAGAAACTATGAATTAACAAGCCTGTGACTACTCTGTCAGAACCAGACAGAAAAGGTGGGTTTTACTTTGTTTTGAGATCTGAGATGCTTGGTGCCTGGAGGAGAAAGGACAAACAAAGGGAAGTGAAATGATTCAACTACAAAGTCAACAGTTTGTAGATTTTGTAGATTTTAAATAACAAAGAGACTGTGAAACTTTGGTAAAATTTGCAAAAAATAAAACAAGCCAAAAAAGAAAAAGAAAAAGAAAAAAAAAAGAGATTTAAGTCTCCAGTTGGGCATTACAGATGGTACATTAAAACCACAGATGAACGCCCTTCTGTGATCATGAAGACAGTAATCTTAATCTCACTTGAAGGGACACGTGCTTCCACGCGACAGTTTGTGTTTGTATTTAAATTAGTTGCAAGGGGTCTTTGCTGCCCAACAAGTCAAGAGAGTCATTCTTTGCCTTTAATTCACTTTATACCTTTGCTTATTTGAGGTATACTTTTGTTATGGCCACAAGAAACAAAAGCCTCAGTTACTATGTCAGGAAGGAACCCACATGCTGAACCTTCATTCCAGTTACACTGGATTAAAAGAAATACAGAACTAGTGAGAGACTGAAGATAAAGACACTTGCTTTTAGAGTCTGACAACCTGCGTTGTGATGTCTTCCATCTGTAATCCCAGCATTCCTACAGGGAGACAAGAGTCAGAGACAAAGGAATCACCTGGAAGCGTGCAGGCCTGCTCTTCTAGAGTACACAGAGCACCAGAAACAAGAGAGACTCTGCCTCAAAAATTTAGGACAGAGCCTGTTTCTGAAAATTGTCCTCTGACTGCCGCGTGCATGCTATGACAAACATGTCCATGTGCACATACACGAGAGAGAGAGAGAGAGAGAGAGAGAGAGAGAGAGAGAGAGAGAGAAGATTAAGCAATTTTATTTAATTTTTAAAAATCCAGTCCTTTTCTCTAATGGGAAGTAAAGTAAAATCTCGTCTCTGTCAAAGCTGCTAGCCTTTGTTCAAACACTGCTCTCTTCTCAGCCCACTTTGAACGTACCATGTGAGTCCCTACCCCACCACCAGAAAAATAGGAAAATACT